GGACAAGAGGCGCAACTTTCGAATTTTCAATTTTTTTTTCGATTTTTGAAGCTTTCGATTCAGCCCCGCCTCTCTCTCCAATTTAGCACGAATGCAAACCACACAGGTCCCCAAACTGCTCTTTCATTACGAAAAGTATCGAAAAAAAAATTTTTTTTTGAGAAAAAGTTCGTAAAAAAAATCATACGGGCTTACTGGACCGGTCCGGGCTTCAAAATCACACGGTAAATTTTTTTTTAATTTTTTCCTCGGTTTCTACGCTCCATCTCACACTGACCTTTACAAATTTCATATTGCATCTTTAAATTCTGACAGTAAGCCGCTGTTAAGCCGAAGGAGCGCGCACCATGTTTCCAGAGCACTTTTCAGTAATAACTTTCGATCAAATTCTGTCAATATTATATTCAACATGATGCGAAGAAAAATTTCTATTCAATTTGATTTAAAAAAGCTTAAGCCCTGATTTTTAATGTTTCAACAAAATGAGAAAAATGGCTACGTATCGCTGAGTCGCCACGCAGTTAGCATGCGACACTACAGTAAGACAGAGCCAGTGAATGAAATCTTTTTTGAAAAAAACCCGTAAAAAAATTCAGCGTGAAATCACAACTATGATTATTTCCCTCTGACTCTTCAGAGCTGGTCCCCCTACCAATCCTAACACCTCAAAACCGTCCCCATCTTTCGATTGCATTCATTGCATTCAAATCCCAATGTTTACACGATGAATTTGACGTGTGACTTCTCCTTCCGTAAGACAGGTGTTAGTTTCCTCACATTCCCCTTTGAATGGCATCCTCCTTTCCAATCGTTTTTTCTCTCTCATGTTTACATTTCAGCTTAACCGGGAGAGGTGTCTTATGGCAGATGGGAGGGAGATGTTCGATTATTTCATTGACATAGAAAAAAGTGTCTTGCTTCTCTTGACAAGCGGTCAAATCCTTAGATAAACAGAAACTGCTTCCGATTCAGGTGTGAGAAGGGAGAGGGGGAGACGATACCGTAATCCAGATGGGATTAGGAAAGTGTTAATAAACAGATTTTGATCTTAGGAACGTTAAAGATAGATTGCTCAGATTAGAGAAAAACGTAAAATTTGAGTTTCCTCCAGAATAATCATATTAGAGCGCACTTGCACTTTTCAAAAGTCGGTGAGTGTTTATAGCTCTGCTCCTCCGTGCTGAAAATTTCAGATTTTTGAAAAAAATTTCATTTCGTTGCGCTCCGAAAATTTTCAAAGGAGTCGCAATTTTATCACCTTCCTGGACAAAAAATCAAGGCAATTATTCAAAAAAAATTTTTTTTTCATCACCATCTTTTTTGTCTGCCTTCTTGTGCTCATCCTCCTTCGTTCCATCTCTGAAGATCACTGTAAAAGAAAGTGCTGGCCAAAGATCCGACAACTTGACGGCCCCGATATCTCACCACGAAAACTACCGTATACATTTAATTGCTACCGTAAGATTTGTCGAATTTCATCGATTTTCAGCAATTTCCAGCAATTTTTCACATTTTTCCTCAGAAAAAAATTGGATGAAAATCGATGAAAATTGAAGAAACCCGTAAAGAAATAAACATTTTCGAAATTTCTTAAGGTAGAAATTAAATTCATACCGTAGTTTTCGTGGTGAGATATCGGGGCCTTTTTACTTTTGAACTTCTCGCCATTTAGAATTCAAAAAAAGTGGAGATAAAACCGAAAAATTGTGAGCAAAGCGATATTGTGGCCTAAAAAATTACATTCGTGTAGTCTGCGTGGACGATTTTTGAAAGCAGATTTTTTATTGACTGTCGAAGTTGTCACGGTTTTCCAGTTGTCTCTCATCAAAAAAAAATTGATGAAAAATTTTCCAAACTCTTTTTTCGTCCCAAAAAACTCCGAAAAAAAAAATATTTTTTCGTTATAAAACATTTTTTTCGAAGTTTCGATCGTCTCTCAGCACAAAAATATTATGGAGATCTCTGTTAAAAGAAGTGATGGCCGAAGATCCGCCAACTTGACGGCCACGATATCCCACCACAAAAACTACCGTATAAATTCAATTTCTACCGTAAGATTTATTGACTTTCAGCAATTTTCATCGATTTTCAACGAATTTTTATTTTTTTTCTGAGCAAGAGCTAGAAAAATCGCTAAAAACCAATGGAAGTTTGATAAATAATCTTACGGTAGCAATTAAATTTATACGGTAGTTTTCGTGTTGAGATATCGGGGCCGTCAAGTGGTCGGATCTTCGGCCAGCACTTGCTTTTCCAGTCACGTTTTGAGAACAAAATTTTCTACAGTAAGTCATTCTTCGTGGCGAGACCCAATGTTGCGCCTTCAGCGTAGAATAAAGTTTAATTTTAAGCAAAAGTAATACTCTGAAAATCTGAAACTCAAGAGATTTTTTTCTGAAAATTCCACTTGAAAAAAATTTATTTTTTCATTTTTCCCGTGAACTCTATACCCTTTTTTACCCCCAAAACACCGAATCAGAACTCCACGTCATCATACAAAAAAAATCGATATATAAAAACCGAAATCCGTCGCCAATCGATTATTATTTCACTTCAATTTGCGATTCAAAAGCAAGAACACACACCACACATTTTAGAAGTTCGCTTCGAGATACGAATCGAAAATCCGAGATGGCTGAGAAAAAAGAAAAGAAAGAAGAGAAGGATAGCGACGTTTTCGTGCTCAAAGTCAACACTGAGGGGGTAAGTGTGCTCTATTGAGAAATTCGCAATGGAGCGCTCTTGCTTACAGGTTCTCTTCACTAACACGAGACTTGGCGACGAGTTGACGGCTGCCATCATCAAGTTGACGAATCCGACGAAGGAGAAGTACGCGTTCAAGATCAAGTGCACGTCGAATGAAATGTTCAAAATCAAGTTGCCAGTCGGGTTCATCAACAAGGACGAGACCATCGAGATTCCCGTTAGTTTTGTGGGATAGAGCGCATTTGAAAACCTAGTATTGGAATTTTGTGCGGTGGAGCGCATTTACACGTTCTTTAGAGCCTATTTGAACGCTTACAATTCATTTCATTGAAGGGAAAACGCGCTCTATCGAAATCAGTGCGATGGAGCGCATTTGCATCTGGACAACTGGCGCCTGTTGATGACTGCACAAAAAAAATCGAGAAACCCCGAAAAATTCCGAAAAGTCATTTTTCGATTTTTTTCGCCCGGAAAATTTCGAAAAAAAACGTTTTTTGAATTTTTTCGGACCAAAGTTTTCGAAAAAAAAAATTTTTTTCGATTTTTTCGGAATTTTTTTTGCACAGCCCTGTTCCTGACCAGTTCATGTTCTTTAGACCCCATCCAGAAGCCTACTTTCCATTCCTTTGAAGGGAAAACGCGCTCTATCGAAATCAGTGCGATGGTGCGCATTTGCATATTCTTCTTGACAACTAGCGCCTGTTGCTAACTGCACAGTTTTTTTTTCCAAATCAGCTAGTTTTCGTTCGATAGAGACCATTTGAAAACCTAGATTTGATTTCAAAAATGCGCTCTATTGGAATTTTGTGCGGTGGGGCGCATTTGCATCTTTTTTTGTCTTAATTGGTCTTGACAACTAGTTCACGTACTTCAGATCCCGTTTGAGCGCTTACATTTCATTCCATTGAAGGGAAAGTGCGCTCTATCGCAATCAGTGCGATGGGGCGCGTTTGCATATTATTCTTGACTACTGCCACTGCACACTCACTACCTTCCTCCTCCCCCCCCCCCCCCCCTTCCTCTCCTCTATGCCCTTCTCACCTGTTTCCGCCGACGGAGAGATGGCCGAGCGGTCCAAGGCGCTGGTTTAAGGCACCAGTCCCTTCGGGGGCGTGGGTTCGAATCCCACTCTCTTCAGTTTCTTTTTTTCTTTTTTTCTTTTCTCAATATATGTTTTCCAGGTTTATCATATGGCCAACAAAGCGATTCCCGAGAACAATAAGCAGTATTTTGCCATTTATTACACCAAAGTGGATGACGATGATGTGAGTTTTCTGTAGAGACAAAGTATTCAAAATTTTCAAATTTTTTGTAGAAACTTCAAGCGCGCAAAGTTTGGGATGTGAAAAAGTTTGAGGGTGTGAAACGTATCTACATTTCGTTCTGCAAACCGGGCGGCACAATCAGCAAGGATGTGGAGAAGAAGGACGAGAAGAAGAAGGATGATACGAAGTCGAAGACGGAAGAAGGGAAAAAGGATGGTACGAAGGAAGATGAGGATAAGAAGGATGATAAGAAGGATGACAAAAAGGATGATGATGAGAAAAAATGAAATGGAAATGGAGAGAGAGAGAGAGAACTTGTGAAATGATGATTATGAATGTGGTTTTATTTTTTTTTGTTGACG